AATAAGGGCAATATCTAACCAATATTTTTATATGCAGCAAAGCTTGACATAAAATAGATTTCTGCTTCAAATGCCCAAGAGGCAAAGAAAGAAATCCTTATAATATTTAAAAAATGAAACTTCTTTAAACATGCTTGGTTTGCTTTCTGAATTCAACACTATGTGTCTCTTTGCCACAACAGAACAGATTTTACTATGTCTGCCAAAAAGAACACTTTGCTCCTGGGAATAGCTGGTGGCGCTTGTTCTCACTTTAGACAATAATACTTCTAGTGGTGGTAAATGCATTAATGTGTGTATCTTGCTTGTAGTGGTCAATGTAAAAAATTTAGCACAAACTGTAAGATGGCTAAATTGGGACTGGGAGAGCCAGGTAGAAATAGAAGCATGATAATAAAAGGACTACGGACATTTGTCCAACAATGTTAATTAATAAAATGCACATTAGACACATTTCCTTTAATCCGTTTTGAGACAAACCAGGTAGCATAATATTGTTAGATGTTCAAGCTATGTTTATAAGGCTTTATATCGGAATCAGAATAAGCTTCATTATCATTGTACCAGAATACAGTGAAATTATGTTCGCACAGTCGTCCGAAAGATGAACGGAGTGCATGTTACTGCTGCTAAGAAGCGCAGCCCCTATTCTTTATCAGAATACTTTTAGATAGAAAAAGGGGAGAACCAGGGGTGGCTGTGGCCGAGTGGTTAGAGCAGTCGTCCTCCAATGCGAGAGTTGGGGGTTCGAATCCACCAGCAGTCACATGCCGAAGTGTCCCTGGGCAAGACATTGAACCCCTCCAAGCCTCCGATGTGTGTCCCATCAGTGTTTGAATGTGATAAAGCACTGATTAGTCTCATTAGAATGATTTGTTCAATTAGCTTTGTAGAGATCTAGTTGAGTGCTGTGTGGATGGGTAAATGAGGACACAGATTGTTGTGTAAAGCGCTTTGAGTATCTTGAAATAAGATAGAAAGGTGCTATATAAGTACAGTCCATTTACCATGAAGATAGTGGTATTACCAAAAAAAAAAAAAAAAAAAGATCTCTTCCCATCTTGTCCTATCAGGACACGATTTGAGACACCAAAATACTCTACCAGCAAGCACATTTATAATAAACACATTACATATGCATTTGACGTCAAGATGTTGAGATTTGTCCATGAGCGTTTTTCAGATAGGCCACAGTTCTGATGTTTCAGCTGGCAGTTCTGATAAGCCTGCACAGAAGTTCTTGGGAGGAGTGGGTTGCGATAGATGAAACTTTTGTCCCTAGTTACCCATGACCCAAGAGAAATTTGATAGCCCACATCCGAGGCCAAACAGGGGAGTCAGATTCAGATAAGCCTCTTGATTTTCTTCAGGCAGACAGATATTTTTCATCAGCCTCGAGTCCTTTTGGAACTTTCTGGTTCAAAATTACCTAATTTATGGGAATCCATTCTACTGATCCATGTTATGAACCTCCTTCAAGTTTGATCCCACCATGCTGACGAGCCCCAGAAGCCGCAGGTGGCATGAGATTCTCAGAAATCGCCTCCAACTTACGGTTTAGCTCGTAAGTTAGCTGATTTTGAGTACTCGTAGCACGAACCAACCTTATACTGACTAGGAAGCTTTGTCATGGCCGAAACTGCTGCCGATGTCTTCTTCAAAAGTTTATGAAACAGAGCCCCGCCATTGCCAAAAAGCAGAGTCCCTACTATCATAAATTCAAATATATAAACGTCTTCTGCGTTCTCCTAAGACGAGACTGAGAGGCACATCAGCTGCCAAACTCCCCATGGATCCATGACGTACCCCACAACGTGAGTCTCAGCTGGACAAGCGGGTTCTCCAGGACTCTGTCATTTTGTTGAAAAGATTTTGTTGATTGTGTTGAAAAGTCCAGGTCACCAGATCCATAATCTTAGTTTTTGTTCAAGAGATGTGTACCAGGCGCTTCAGACACACAGAGAGCGAAGCAGAAGAGGGGAGGGAGGGCAGGAGCAGCCACCTCGAGCGAGAACCAGACATGTAGGGTAGAAGAAGACTTGGATCAGAGGAAAATGTTCTATAAAAACCCAAACAATGTTTTAAACTTCCATCAGATAATCAGCAAAGTGCAACTTGAAGAAAAGTGGTACGCCAACGTCCCTTGTTGGTGTGGGATTTGAATAGTGAATGTTTGTAGTTTTCCAGATGATTTTTTTCTGAACTGAATTAAACAAGAAATGCAAGTAAACAATGCTTCTGGTGCAAAATAGCCAAGTGGATAGAAGTTACACTGTGTTAAGTTTATATTTATTTATTCTTTGCTTGTTCGAGGCAGGGCAGTGTGACGGTTCCTGGCGAGCGGAGAGAGCAAGGGGCCAGTGGGTGGCTTTGGCCATCATAGATCAATTTTTGGCCACCGGACTAGTCACCACAATTGTTTAGAAGAAACTATACTTTTAAGCAATATTAAAACAAGAAAACAGTTTCCTCAAATGATAGGGGTGGGTTACATATACAGTGCATCCAAAAAGTATTCACACAGCACTTTACTTTTTCCACATTCTCATGTTTGAGCTTTATTCCAATTGTATTGATTAATCTCTTTCCTCAAAATTATACACTTAATGTGGAAGCTGAGTGCTATGTTTGTATTACACATGGTTGTCAGGGGGTAAGGGTTGGTTAGCGTAGCACAACGTTAGTGCCGGCTGTTGTCGATGTGGGGTGAGTGGGGTGGTAGTGGAGCGCTACGTTTGTATTGCATGCAGTTTGGAATCTGAGCTGAGCTGCTACAGGCTCTGTGCCCTGTCCAGAAAAAGCGGAGCTGCGTGAGGGGTGGGGGAATTGGTAGGTGGGGTATGATGTTCTGTTGGCAGGGTGGGGCATCCTCCTTGAATAATGATAGGGGAAACACAGGTATTATGACACACAGGGTGAAAGAAGACAAAAAAATGATTGTTGTACAAATTATACAATAAACCATAGAGTTGTGGGAGCAAGAAAAGTTTGTTTGCAGAATGTGAACATTTTAGACCGTTCAAATGTTGGGATGTGAACCATTGTTGCTTCTCAACTAAACATTTCATAGAAAAAAAAAAAAAACTTAAGCAGTGATTAGGGCTGGGTGATATGGACCAAAATTAATCCCTCAATATTTTTAAAATAAATCGCAATATACAATATATATCTCGATATTCCAACATCTGCTAAGTTCATGGCAAAAACCAATGCAGACATGTTCCTGTTTGTAGTATTTTACACCATTTTACAATGTAGCTGCTTTTGTGTAATTTTTTTTAACTTGTGTAAATAAAGGTTGAATGAATGAATATAATTTTCTTTCATTTATGTTTTCAATTTATATGCTTTCTTTTATGATTGTCTACTGTTGTCGTTATTCTTTGTTAAAAACAGGTCTCTCTTGTAAATGAGTCCTCGAGGCTCAATGAGACTAACCTGTAGAAATAAACGTGCTGCTGTTCAACGTATTGTTTTTGTACTACTAGTGCTTAGTGTGTTTAGTTTAACGTTCTTCTTAGTTCATATCTTAGTTCATATCTTTGATCTTATTACGGTTGTTCTTTTACATTTATACTTTTGTTGGATGTAACTGGGACTCTGCGTACACAGTTTCGTTCCACCACATGTACCACATGTGGTGCGTATGACAAACTTTGACCTTTAAATACATGTTGAATGAATAAACTTTTTCCTTTCCATAAGGTAATAACAAAAATATATTTCTGAGTCAAAGCTTTGTCCCAATCGTCACAGGCACATTTATTAACAAACATCTGTAACTAAAATATAAATGTCTAAAAAATTAACTATTAACATATATTAAATAATTCTCTTCAGCTGCTCCGCCTTCACAACATTATTAAGTGTGTGTGAAGCAGCGTGTGAGGGGCTGTGTTTGGGAGGAGGGGCTGCGTGAAGTTGGACGGGCAGATAAAAATCTGTGTACAGTAGTTCTCCTTTAAGTCTTACAGTGAGAGGTATTGCAACATTAATAAAGCAGTGACTTATCATATCGCTAAAGATGTGGTCCTTAGCGACTAACAGACGGCTACCTTTAGCAGTCTGTTAGCCGCTAAGCACCATGTCTTTAGCGATATGATAAGCTGCTGTTTTATTACTGTGGCGCTACCTCTCACTGCTGCTCTCATAAGACAGCACGGCTAAATGAGTTTTGACCCATGGTTTGTCTCAGGGAATGAGGTTGAAAACACATTCTGAGCTGAAGGTCACACATGCTTCATACTCCACTTACAGCGCTGTTTTAAACGGTGAAAAAGATTTGCAGTGCCGACCTTTTATCGGGACTTGTTTTTGATATCGTCTACAGAAAACATTCTTCTGCTACTCATCTGACAATTTAAATCCAAACCATCTCTAAATAACAGCCACTGTTTTCCTTTTTGCTCCACAACTAAGCTGCTCTAAATATCTCCCGTGTTTATTTGATGCGTTAAACTCCACCCAGCTGGTGAAGCAGGAAACGCGTGCAGGTGAGGGGTTGGGTGTTTGTATTCAATGAGGGAGAAGGAGGGGCCACATGCAGTTGACCATGCAGACAGGAGAAAAAGAACTACTGTGCACAGATTTTCAAGTCTAATAATATTTGCGATGGTTCCGATAGAGCCATGCCGGGCAGCTCCGAGAGGAGGGCACCGACGGCTGGGAGCGGTGTGGTCGCTGATGTGGAAAGGCCCGGCGGGGTTGAGCATTCGCTCAGCCCCCCTTGTTCCAACACTACGCTCTCTGGGAGGGAATGAGCAGCGGGGCTGCTGCTGACGTCGCCTGTCCCGGAGGAACCATCCGATTCGCTCCAAGACTTGGCGTCAAAAAAGGCAATGGCGTTGTCCAGCGAACAGTCCCCCGCCATGGAGAGGCGCTCCTCGACGTCAGCCTTAAACAAGGCTGCTCGCCTCTGCCTCTCTTCAGGAGGGAGGAGGTCACAGAGACGGCAGGAGGAGGTCACAGAGAAGGCAGGAGGAGGCGAGGTCGGCGTGGACCCAGGCATCCTTCGCAGGTGTCGTGTCGGTCAAAACTCAGCATGTAGCCGGTCTTGCAGGGCGGGCACAAGCAGATGGCGTTGGTGCTGGACATCGCATTCTTGGAAGATCAGTGCTGGTTGCTTGCTGAAGAAAAATGGGAGCCGATTACCTGTTCTCAACGTAATTTATACGGACCAGGTGGGGCCCACACGACAGGTGGGTGTGGACTAAAGATTTCAGTGCTACGCTTTGCGTGACAGGATAAAACCCACTAGCGAATAGCCTTACAAGGGCTACGCCTATACTCATAGAATCTGGGGTTACAGTACGTAACCAACGGTTCCAGCATTTTAGGGGTGAAAATTAGTAGTGTTTATATCAGCGCATAATGAGACCATGATCACAGATACCGATAGGTCCCCAAACACCTATATTAGCCTGAAATATCGGCCCGGGCTCTACTCATTTCATCCAACAAAATTCTTTTAGTTTGGATGTAAAGCGCAAAAAGACACATTCATGTTGCACAAGTAAACATTTAGTACAAAAAAAAAACAGTTCCACATGAACACAGGCTGAAGGACTGAACGCTCCATGGCTCAGAACAGCTCACTCTGGCTAACTTGAGTGATATCAGGAAGTCAACAGCAAATGCACCGAGCTGCAGCAGCTGGAATATACATCCCAGTATTTTCCCTACCATTATGCAAGCGGGGTGCCCCACCCTGTCAAAAGAACTGAGCACCACGCCTACCAAACCGAACTTGCCCAACCACCTGGCACTGACAGGTCCTTCTCAAAAAATGAGCATATTGTGATAAAGGTCATTATTTTCCATAATGTAATGATAAAAATGAAACTTTCATATATTTCAGATTCATTGCACACCAACTGAAATATTTCAGGTCTTTAATTGTTTTAATACTGATGATTATGGCATAAAGCTCATGAAAACCCAAAATGCCTGTCCCAAAAAATTAGTATATCATGAAAAGCTTCTCTAAACAAGCTATTAACGTAACCATTTGAATCAACGACGTAACTCTAAACACCTGCAAAAGATTCCTGAGGCTTTTAAAAACTCTCAGCCTTGTTCATTACTCAAAACCGCAATCATGGGTAAGACTGCCGACCTGACTGCTGTCCAGAAGGCCATCATTGACACCCTCAAGCAAGAGGGTAAGACACAGAAAGAAATTGCTGAATGAATAGGCTGTTCCCAGAGTGCTGTATCAAGGCACCTCAGTGTGAAGTCTGTGGGAAAAGTGTGGCAGAAAATGCTGCACAACGAGAAGAGGTGACCGGACCCTGAGGAGGATTGTGGAGAAGGGCCGATTCCAGACCTTGGGGGACCTGCGGAAGCAGTGGACTGAGTCTGGAGTAAAAACATCCAGAGTCACCGTGCACAGGTGTGTGCAGGAAATGGGCTACAGATGCCGCATTCCCCAGGTCAAGCCACTTTTGAACCAGAAACAGCGGCAGAAGCGCCTGACCTGGGCTACAGAGAAGCAGCACTGGACTGTTGCTCAGTGGTCCAAAGTACTTTTTTTGGATGAAAGCAAATTTTGCATGTCATTTGGAAATCAAGGTGCCAGAGTCTGGAGGAAGACTGGGGAGAAGGAAATGCCAAAATGCCAGAAGTCCAGTGTGAAGCACCCACAGTCAGTGATGGTCTGGGGTGCCATGTCAGCTGCTGGTGTTGGTCTACTGTGTTTTATCAAGGGCAGGGTCAATGCAACTAGCTATCAGGAGATTTTGGAGCACTTCATGCTTCCATCTGCTGAAAAGCTTTATGGAGATGAAGATTTCATTTTTCAGCATGACCTGGCACCTGCTCACAGTGCCAAAACCACTGGTAAATGGTTTACTGACCATGGTATTACTGTGCTCAATTGGCCTGCCAACTCTCCTGACCTGAACTCCATAGAGAACCTGTGGGATATTGTGAAGAGAAAGTTGAGAGATGCAAGACCCAACACTCTGGATGAGCTTAAGGCCGCTATCGAAGCATCCTGGGCCTCCATAACACCTCAGCAGTGCCACAGGCTGATTGCCTCCATGCCACGCCGCATTGAAGCAGTCATTCATGCAAAAGGATTCCCGACCAAGTATTGAGTGCATAACTGAACATGATTATTTGAAGGTTGGTGTTTTTTGTATTAAAAACACTTGTCTTTCATTGGTGGGATGAAATATGCTAATTTTTTGGGACAGGCATTTTGGGTTTTCATGAGCTGTATACCATAATCATCAGTATTAAAACAATTAAAGGCCTGAAATATTTCAGTTGGTGTGCAATAAATCTGAAATATATGAAAGTTTCATTTTTATCATTACATTATGGAAAATAATGACCTTTATCACAATATGCTAATTTTTCGAGAAGAACCTGTAAGTTAGCGGCGCGAAATACAGGCTATCTAGCTAAAAAGCTAAAGGCTGCGCTCACGTTGCATCTTCTCTCAAGCTGAACACTCCACACACGTGTACACACACACACACACACACACACACACACTCAAAAACTCTCTGTATAAACAGCACACAACTCAAATGTGTCACGCTAAGCTAGCAGTACACAATAAAAGTGCTCTAGCTAACAAGCTAAAGATGCCTCTTCCCTCATGCTGACACCTCCACCCCCCCCCGGCTCAAAAACTGTTGGTACAAGCTGCGCTCAGACATGTCTCTGACAAAAATCATGGATGAGTTGAGCAGCCCACCATGGCAAGTTAACTAGGGCAAACACTGCACACGATTCAACGGAAGCAAAAAATACAACAGAAACTGACATTGTGAACAAGCAAGAGTTTTAGGAAAATAAATAAATAAACCTCCATGTTGAGCTAGACATAGTGTGACAGAAAACAATTAAGGCATTTCTACTTACCAGATCAGGTTTTCAAAAAAAAAAAAAAAAAAACAGATAACTTCAAAAAAATTCACAAAAAAATCCATTTGTGGGTCTTTCATCCAAATTTTTTATGTCAGGGGGATTTGAACTGGCAACCTTGACTCGCCTTCTCTATAGCTTCTGCGCCACCACTCACCTCTTTAAAGTTTTCCAAAGTACAGTAAATAAAAACTAATTGTTAAAGAACACAGTCCTGCAGCTTAATTAGAATAAAGGCCCTCTGCAACACCAAGCCTTTGAGGGAAGACAGTAACCTCCTGTTTAATTGGCAATAGTTTTTTTTTTTTTTTGGTAGTTTTCAACTACATTACACTTATAAGTACCTTCAATAATACAATTAATATTTTGGATACTTTTTAGTTTGAAAGACAATTTGCAAAGGGAAGCTGTTTAAGGACATCTTAGAGCATTAGACCCAAGGGTTGTCACTTTCTTTTCTTACCAAGCACGATTTGATTTAAAGATTTTAAACTAAAAAGTTTTGGACGTTTTAAATAAAGCACCTGTGCTGAGGCTACAAAGTTTCCGTGTTTCTGGATGGAGTTGGTCTCTGATTAAACCATAATGAGCTCTGTCTGGCTGCACGGCGGCCACATGGGGGCTGACCCTCTTTAACACTTTGGTTGAAGCAGGTGGCATCACAGCATCGTGCTTCATTGCTGTGCATCCTCGTGAAGTTAACATGGCTGCCCAGGAGTGAGACAATGCCGTATACATTAGTTTAAATGTTCCCCGGGCTGTTATGGCAGCCTCGGGACGACGGTGGAGCTAACCGCCGCTCCAGGGCTGCTCGACACGAACTTGTATATTCAAGTTTTACCCTTTACATGCCGCCGGTTAAACTTGATAAAATCACAACTTCGACAAATAAATAAAATAAAATATCCACTTTCGGAAGGTTAGGTAGTTGCGGTTGAGGATGCGCGCGAGGCATAGTCACAAAACTTCTGTGAACCGTAAAAGGGAAGAAAGCACTGGAAAAAAACTAACAAAACCTTGGACTCACCTGAAACGATGCACAGTAAGTGGTAGAAGGCGACCCCGCCCTGTCGTCCGAGCACGTGTCTCCGCTGAAAAGAGGGTGACATTTTTTTTATTTTATTTTATTTTTAAAGATGAAGCGCAGCCTCCTGAATCGTGCCTGAAGCGTTACTAACGTGCCCGTTGGAGCTGTGCTGAACAGTGGATGCTCCTCGGCAACAACTCCGAACTGCATGTGGACTGTACCATCTGCGCAGCGACGAGCAGGGGTGTCTCAAGCACACCTGACCGTTGAACCCAACGAGAAGCTGTTCGCTCCTCCAAGACATCCCCCCTCCGCACAGGAACGTGCCATTACCATACACATTACGTCATCTCTGTTGATAACTCCACATTGATTGATTCATTAGATCACCTTTTTTCTCTGTGAAAATACATGTACATGCTTTATGACTTCTTTTGTTCATCACTATTCAAAATGACGAAACACACATCATTAAAATGAAGAGAAAAGTGACATTATATTGGAGAAAATTGGTGACATTTTTAGACACAATGATATGAAACAATTTTTTTCTGCTAGATGGTTGCCCCAGTAACTTAATTATGATCTGAATTACTGTATTCACGGAACAGAATAGAAACATTTTCAAAAATTAAACATACTGTATTTAGATGACTAGTATTTCGATAAAATGTTCAAAATTATTAACCAAGGCTTTCACGTAATAAAAAAAAAACATGTGCCACAAATACCTATAAACACCCTGCAAACATTACTTATAGTCGTCTCTAAATATCTTGCTTATAAGCTGATCGTTTTCACCACTCATTGGGTTTATTGTCCTTTTCTCTGTAAATGCAGATTTCTGCCAAGGTTTACACATGGTATTTAAAGTTATATTAAAAGTTTTAGGTCAGGATTAACTCTTTGTAACTGTTGGATTATGATATTTTAGAATATGTTGCACTGAAAAGCTCCAAGACTCACACCAAGTTTTCAAACAATTTGTTCACAGATTATTTTTATTTGGGCATTTTTAGATTATAGCTGACATATACATATATATATATATATATATATATATATATATATATATATATATATATATATGGTATACAGTTATTTCACAGCATGATAAATCCTCCACCATGTTTTACTGCAAGTAGGTACAGTGCCTCATGTTCTTATAGACGCAACATATGGCCTGTGGGTCAACAGTGGCCCTTGGACTATCTCCATCCGGGCCTCAATGTCCCTACTTGAAAAAAACTACTTTTGAATAAGTTGATGAAAACTTGAATTTTATCAACAAAACTTAAGGAAGTCTAAATTAAACATCTTGGACAAACACATAAAAAACTTTTGGATAAAGATAAGCAAAAACCTTTTGTTAAGTCATTGTGTTTCCAGAATAAGACTCAACCTTAGACTCCAAAAAGCAAACAGGTTTTTGTTTGTTTGTTTGTTTTGTTTTGTGCATATTTAAGCTAACAAATATAATGCCACAAGAGCACGTTTACAGCGAGTATGTTTTATATTCCTAAAGATTATCGGAGAAAAATATTAATAATGCTACAACACGAAGTTTTCCTGATTATCCGTCATAGAAAATGTAATTTTTCTCAATTGCTTTTGATTTGGCCGTCTGGAAAAAATGCTGCTTGCCCCCGATCAACAACAAAGCAAGCTCATTTCTTTACTCAAAATATTAAAAAAAATATGAGATAAAACCCGCAATTAGATTTTTATTTCTTTGATATCAGATTCTTTTACTAAACCTTGAATCCTGAACTCTGACGGTTTCAGGCACAACACCTCATACAGTGGTTTATGAAAACAACCTATTTTTTCATTAAAAGGCATTTCTTTCATACTTTTTCCCTTTCATGCACCGCCTCATTCTGCTACAGAGAAGTTTAAAACTTGCCAGGTCAGCAGACGTAGACAAATGTTGTGCAAGCACCTGGGTTTGACTCTGAAGTATTTGAACGGAAGTCAGAGATGGATTATAACGTGTGCATTTGTCCTGTGAATGCATGAGCAATAAAGCAAAAAGAGACAGGTTTCCTGGGTTTCAGCACCATCCCCTTGCTTGTGCTTTGGGCCTTGTTTGGATACCAGACACAGCGAAGAGGCTGGCCTGCATCCTTTCTGTTCAAATGTAAAACTCATGCTGCAGACACTTGTCGTTATTAAACCAAAGCCACGGGATCTCCAGTTCACTTGGAGATCTGAATGGATTTTGTTTCCACCACAACGAGCTTTTTTTGAAGCAGCTTTTGGTCGCCAGGTACTTTCTCACTCTGGAATGTTTCTCAACACTTCAAGGGCTCTTACTGAGGCTGGAGAGGTGCTGAGAGGGCTTTAGGGTTGTGGTGGAGTAATGATTGCTTAAATTAGTCTACCGCCTGCTCAGACGCTTCCTTTATCCTGCAGGTCAGTGTCTTCCTCCCTGTTTACCCACCTGACTTACTCAGCACCGTTCAAACTCGTCTCGTTTTTTAAAAATGTGGTTGTTTTTGCCCTACAAAGATCCATATGCCTTGCAGAAAATTAAAAAAGGAATCCACACCTGTAAGTGTTACATATGTGCAGCTTAAAGAGGCACATGCCTCCACACACAGGAGAATGAAGAACTTCAGCAGGAGTCACAGTTTGTGCTTTGTACAAGCTGTGGTGACACCTGCTGGCAGAAACATTTAACATCCAGATTCAGAATAATAAACTTTAAATCTGTCGTCAGTATGTTTAGAACATCACAACAACCATTAAACAGCCTGTATCATTTAGGAAGAGCTAACAAGCATGTATAGAGCATTAAAAAAATGATGCATTAAACTCGAACTTTCAGATTTTTGAACCAGAAGTGAAGCAGAATGTGAACTATGGTTGTCAAACCCTCAAAATCTGGTCTTTTTTTATTTGAATTTTTTTTATATAAATAATTTCCCTTAAATGGACATAAAATTTGAATTGGTCTTAACAAAACATAATAAAACGGCAATAATAATATTAATAATGGCAGTTTTAAAAAAAAAATCAGGATATTTTTATGCAGCTGATTTTTATTAATTGGATTTTTTTTTAAATTAATTAATTTTTTTTTCTAAACTTGCCAGTCATTTAATTTATTATTATTATTATTACATAAAACAAAATGTTGGAAAAATTAAATTTATAAAGTAATGTTTTTAACCAGCCCGTGATTTCACGTGTTCATGAAGGGTAATTAAATGGTCCAATGGTTAAATGGTGCAGGCTTTGTACAGCACGGAAGCCCCAAGGGGACATGGGGGATTTTTATTTTTCTGTCTTTGAGCTTTATTTATTTATTTTTTAATAAAAAGACAAATTAATTTGAAATATAAATTATTTTAAGCCCAATGAGCAACACAGTCATCAGAAAGTTTTAGTTTTATTTAAAACACGAACTGTAATTTACAACACAACAATGTACAGGTTTATGTTAAAATATAAGACACTTACAGTTTTCACTGTGGACCGACTGAAAAAAAAAATAAAATAAAATAAAAAACAAGTATTTATGTGACTAGATTTAGAAACACAGAGAAACAAAACAAAAGAAGCAAAACCATATATGTAATTTGACTTTTTCATAAAATGTATTAACATTTAATAAACTTTTATGGGTTGTTAATAATTTTGAACTTTGAGCATTTAAAGAATTTGATTTACAATCCAACATTGTTTTTTAAAATCACAATATCCTGATGCATACTCAATCACAAGTTTGTGTGAAGAGTTGCTTTGACAAAAAGAGGAAACTGAACAAATGCCTTTTGAAGGTCACTGAGGAGTAATTATTAGAGCTGAAGCAGACAAATTATTTAAATCTACACAGTGAAAAATCAATCAAGTCTTTTTAATTTTCTGACCAAATATAACCTTATTAAACGTTTAATGAAGTAAAGAGTAAAAACAAGCATTTTATGCAAGTGAAGAGCACAGGAAACCAGAAATAAACCCTCATGTATATCTTCATTAGGGATGAGGCCTGACGGTCGATTTGCAGCCAAACGTGATGTAACATTTAAAAACGTGCCTGATGGCCGGGTCTCTGAGGCCGTATATGAGTGGACTCAAACACTTTGGGAAGATGATCAGACACAAAAAGACGATGTACTCGACGTGAATGGCGATGGCAGGGTTGAAGCTCAGCAGCTCGCTGGAGTTGATCATGTTGAAGAGGGTGGAGATGAGGTACAGGCTCAGCTGGAATGCGTGCAGCAGCACCGTCCTCAGCTCATTTCTGGCCTTGTATGCGCCAGAAGGAGGCCGCTTCACAGAAAACATGATCGCCACGTACGTGTAACTGATAATGATGGTCACGAACACAAAGTTCAGGATGGTGAAGGCCCTGTTCAGAGTGAGGCACACCTGCAGCTGGAACATCGTGTTAGCGTTGCAGAACCTCTGCGCGGCGAGGCCTTCCTCGTCGAGGGAGAAAAACAGAAAGAGCTGGGTGAAGGACTCTAAAGAGGCCACGGTCCACATGACGGCGATGGCCACAGCCGTCACTCTGGGCGTAGTGATGGAGGCATGCCTGAGCGGAAAGCAAATGGCAACATACCTCTCCAAGGACATGGCCGCCAGGTTGATGGGAGACAACTTGACAGTGACGGCTGTGAGCTGGGTGAGGACGACACAAACGCAGGTCACCATCCTGACGGCAGTCAGGGCGAACAGGTAGAGCAGCAAGGTGAGCAGCAGCTGCAGGGAGTCGGTGAGCAGCAAGTGACCGAACAGGATGTATCGGGAGCACTCCAGCAGGAAGGGCTTTCTCAGCAGGACGAACACCATGATGCTGTTGACGTACAGGAGCAGCAGACACGGCAGGACAGACAGCAGGACTTTGACAGAAAGAGGAAGCTGCACCATTTTAGACACATCTGTAACATTCATGGCTTCATGGAGAGTCTGCAGAACACATCAGAAACATGTCTAATCACCATTAAAAACTGCACCTTGTCATCTCTGTCAAAACGGAAAACTCCCAGCAAACAGAGCGCCAGCATTGTAATAACTCGTGCTGTTGAATGTTTTTCTGCTTTGAGACTTTGAACTTACGTGTTTGTTCTGATTTGTCCAGCAGGAAGGTTTATGGCGACAAATGTGAGAGGAGAGACTCGTCCCTTCTTTAAATAGACCAAACCGACTAAACAGCATCACCTGGAGGGTTGACCAACCAATCAACGCGCCGTATTATGAGTTCATCTGTTTTTATTCTCATGCCGACGACGTTTTAAGAAATTTGACCCCTTTTGACATAAAAAAAATTAAACAGCTTTATAGTTGTTCTACTTTACCAAACCTACAGATTAAGTGTAGAGTTTTGTAGATTTTAGTTTTCCTCTACATAAAAATGTATTTATTTATTTTAAAAGTTTGAATGTTTCTAAAGCATTCGCATTATTAGGGTCTATTTTTCTTTGTATGTTTTATTGGCATGTAACGTGTGTTCTTTCAATAATTCATAAATCAAAATGTTCAGCTCATTCAGGACATTCCTGCAGGGACTTTTGTGCAATTTTGACTTTTTGAAACATGTAGCTTTGTCGGCCATGTTTTTCTCATTGAAAACGACTCGAGCTCTTCCTTCAAACCCTTTGTGCTGTTTGAAACCTTTTACTGCGCATTTCAATTTTTGTCCTGCTTCAGCTTCTTTCTGCTAACTTCAGCTTCCTTCAGCTCCTTTTACATTGATTTTTATGTTCATTTCAGGTTTTTTTCTGTCTTTTTCAGCTATATTTGGCTGCTCTCCATTTTTTTTGCTAATATCAGTTTTGTTTTGGTTTTTTTGTTCAGCTTCTTTCTGCTAAGTTCAGTTTACTTCTGCTTTTTCAACTACTTTTAAAGGTATTCTGCTAATTTTAGCCCATTTTCTGTTTTTTTTTCCCCCTCCTCTTTTCTACTTTTTGTACTTCTTTCTAATAATATAAAAATGTTATGGTCTTTTTTGCTAATATCAGCTTTTACAGCTACTTTTCAGTTCATTTCAGCTTTATGCACTCTTTTGTTATTGTCCTGCTTTCAACAACCATCAGCTGTTTAAATTCAACTTGCATTAACATTTTAGCGATGAAACCTTTTCAGTTGGTTTCATCTTTTTCAGCAGCTTTCAGCAACAATCATTCAGCAATAAGCATTCCCATTGCATTTTCACAGGAAATGCAATTTCTCTAGTTACAGTTAAAAATAATGATCTACTAAATCCTGGTTAAACCTTGAGATCAATCAAAAACTTCACTGTTACACATGAGTTAAAACTATTTTTGACAAGCGTATAATTTCAGTTTAATGTGTCTCGTGTTATGATCTTCTGTCTGTTTTAAATTTAAGACTACAACTTGCACATTGTTTTTGCCTCTAGTCTGTGGATGTGTTGGTCATGTCAGCAAAATATTGTTAAAATTACTTGACAGATTGTATAAAAACTTTCAGAAAGTAATAATTAGATGTTCCTTTACAACTGGAGTCAGCCTTTGGAGTCAACCCTGTTTAGCCCAAGCACTTCTTTTTTGACTAAAGTCTGTGAATGTCTAGGACCTAAGGAGACCAGTTGTAGCAGTTTTTGGAGGGGAATGTTGCCCCGTACAGGTCTGATGGAGCTGTTCAACAGTCCTGGGTCTTTGACAGATTTTTTCATATCAAAATGAATCTGGGTTGCAAGTGAGGTTCTGCCTCAAGTGGAGGAGTTCAAGTGTCTTGAGGTTTTGTTCCTAAGTGAAGAAAGAATGGAGCATGACATTGACACATGGATTGGTTCAGCATCTGCAGTATTGCAGACGCTGTGCCGGTCTGTTATAGTGAAGAGGGAGCTGAGCTCCAAGGTTAGGCTCTCTACTCACCGGTCGGTCCACAATCCTACCCTCACCTATGGACACAAACTTTGGGTAGTGACAAAACTATAAGATCCCAAGTGGTCAATATGGGCTTTCTCCTCAGGGTAGCTGGACTCTCCCTTAGAGATAGAGTGAGAAGTTCAGTTATCTAAGAGAAACTTGCTCCTCCATATCAAGGAGCCGCCAGCTGAGGTGAGTCATGCATCTGGTAAGGATGCTCCCTGAACGCTTCCCTTTTTGGCCATGACTTACTGGGAGGAGACCCTGGGGAAGACCCAGGACATGCTGGAGAGACTGTCTCCCTGCTGGCCTGGGAAAGCCTTGGAGTATTCCAGAAGAATAGAAGATGTGGTTGTGGAAAGAGAAGAAAGTGCCTCTCTGCTAAAGATGCTGCCCCCATGACCTGACTCCAGAACAAGCGGAAGATAATGGATAGATGGATGAAACACCAAATGTTTTCAGTGAACACTTTTACAGTTACAAATGTGCATGCCCGAAGTCAATATTTTGCAATGTGAAATACTGAATATAATGTCTGAATATATCCATGCCTACTTCTGGTTATCTGACATCTAATTGATTTTTTTTTTGTCATTTATAGAAACACATTTGACCAGGACACTTGAGTTCTCTGAGAACCTTATCAATAGGAGTTAGGTCATTGGATTTCCTGCCTTTGTATTGGATTGCTTGATCATGGTTGGGTTCAGTTCAAGGGAGTGCATGTTAAATGTGTCAATGTTGCAATGATACTGTTACAGATCTTGATAGAGAGCCACACCATTGATGTGGACAACTGCATCTTTTGGAACTACCAGTACTATCCATAGCATGTGAGCTGGGAGTTCAAGATGTATAGCAACGTTGTGGTGATCGTAGGTCGCGGTTATAACTTATGCTGGAGTATTAACTAATCACTGGCTATCCATCACCTCTGCATGAGTAGTGGTGCCATGGAGATAAAGTAATAAGACATTGAGTCTTTGGTCATTTCTCTGAGACAACATTTATCAGTCGTGTCATCACTGATGACAAACTTGCTGGGACAAAAATACTGAATGTTATTGTGTGCGTGCACATATGCAAGTTAGGTGTTTTCCTGTCATGTTTACCATGACGGGAACTGAGGTAGTAAGCAATAACTGTAGGAGTGTTTATTTGTATATCAGGTCCCAATTTTCTAAATTTACCACATCTTTCGGTCGGTAAATGTTTGCAGGAGCGATAATGGGCAAGATAATGAGGAACACCATCTTGCAGTTTCCAGGATTGATTTTAAGAGCCGCAGAGCTTCCCAAGATGTATCCTAAATGAGTTTGTAATAGAATTACAAACTATTATATATTTCTTGTTACTATCACTGACTATGAGGAGCGGCTGTGGCTGAGTGGTTAGAGCAGTCGTCCTTCAATGCGAGAGTTAATTTTTTTAGATTGTTTAGTGATTCATTTTTCCTCAGGTTACTTTAAATGAGTTCTGGCTCAGAGTTGGATGTTGTTCATATGTGTCTTCTTCTTTGTGGGATAGAGCTTTCCCAGTATTTGTGGACGTGGCAGCTAACTGTGTTTACAGAAATGATTTGTGGACGTGTTCCTGAGCCCATGCAGGGATGTCCAGAACAGAATCAGATTTTTCTGAAATTGTTCCACAATATTTAGACAGTTTTTTTGCAGACTGGTGTCTGTAAATAAACTCAGAGTGTCACTAACCTCTTAGCAGTGGTGGACGGAGTACATTTACTTGAGTACTGTACTTAAGTACATTTTCCGAATATCTTTACTTTACTTGAGTAAACTGTGTTTTGGGGAACTCATGACTTTCACTCCACTACATTTCAAAGACATATGTTGTATTTTCTACTCCACGAAGCTTCTTGTTCCTTTTGGCTCAGCTTTGTAATCCTCTGTTGCTGTTTTTCTTTCCTTACATGCAGTTGTCCAGTTGTTGACTCAGATATTATGCTAGATTCATCTGTGCAGAACATTCATCGTTTTGTAAGTATGGCAGTACATTCATTTATCAGTGTTACCGCTTCCTCTCCTGTGTTAAGTTGTTGCTGTCAACATATGCACTTTTACACATATACACAATGCCGTGTATGAATATTAAAGATGAGGAAAAGGACTAAATGTTCATCATCTTTTTGGGATTTCCATGACTTTCCACAGACATGTAAAATGCAGGGAAGATATTATTTGTGGTTTACAGGTTTATGTGGTGTTGCCATGTAGCAGAGTAGTTCTACATTGCCACCTTCCTGGGTTTAATGTTGTCCGCCATTACTGAAGACTCACTGGCAGACACACAAAGCAATGGCTTCAGAGTAAGAAACCATCAGGGGGGTTCAGAGAGTTACAAGTTTCTGTAAAATCACTCAAAACAATACAGCAATGTACTGATATTAGAAAATATATGTATTTTTGAATATTTGAATATTTTAAAATGCTTGTACTTTTGAATACTTAAGTATTTTCAAAAGTAAGTACTTCAGTACTTTAACTTGAGTAAACGTTTGACTGAGCAACTTTTACTTGAGTAAATTTGACCGTGAGTATCAATACTTTTACTTAAGCACTAGAGTTGAGTACTTTGTCCACCACTGCCTCTTAGATTAATCTGCTGCTCGGCTTCTGAATGTGTAAACCATAGAATCCTCACAGGCAATTTCCAGGATGGTTTCTCTGCATAACTTGTCCAATGACGAATCCTGACCAATCGATGAAGACGTGGTAAGAAGGCAGGCGATGGTCAGAAACACAGAGGCAGGGAGTGAAGTGATCAGGCATAGGGCAAGCCGAGGACGAAGGTTAAAATCCATGTCTATTGTCCGTGTCCAGAAAGCAGAGATAAGTGTAGAGCTCAACAGGGACGAGGAAGAACAACAACATCCAGAGGGCAGAAGCAAGGTTATAACCAGGAGATTGTAGAAGAACAGATGCTCGGATATATTCATCATTTAACACGGATTCCTCATTTTTCTGGACTGAATAAAACGTGCATTGAATTTAAGGAAATGCAAACGTGAGACGTCATTTATATTTGACCCATCAAAATGAATGC